AAAACAACTGTTCAGACATGATAAAGAAAACCAATAGTGCATGCAAAACTAAAGGTAAAAAAACTCCCACAAATAGAGTGAGATCTGGATCATGATTAAGCATCACAAAACACATAAATTTTTAATTTTAAAAGTGCCATAGAAATCATGGAAACAGGAAGGTATGTAGAACTTGTCTGTCAGGCTATTTCAGAAATATCCCTAATGTGAAAAGTGTCTAAAAAACAAAACTGGCAAACATTAATTATTCTTGCTTTATGGAATAGCTACACTTGATTATCAGCTTCTGCCCTGAAAAGAGTTTTTCAGTTATGCTAGTAGCCAGTACTGAGGTGACACTAAAGTTACCACAGCCTTTAATTTCCATCAGCAGATCAAGCATAGACAGGTTCTCATTGATTCTAGTAATGTGTCCATTTCATGTGCTGTTTCAAGGTTGTTTTCCCATTCTGTCAACACAAGACTTTGCTGACTCCAGCTACATTTGTCAGAAACAAACAAGTGAAGCCAATATTGACCACATCTTATGTTCCTTTCAGTAAATTAGCAATGACAAGTGCTACTCTACTATGAAAACTAATAGCAGTCATAGCAGATAATTATTTTTCATTCTGCACAAGAAGAGTCTAAACAGATCAGCCTGCTTATGCAAAAAGCTATCTTGGCCCTTTTCCCCTTTTCCAAACACTGCAGCTTAGCAGAGCTGGATAACGAACAGACTAAACAAAAGCAGCTGACCAGTCTGCCATCTCCAGTAGAGGTATGCAGACTTTGTACAAAATCGAGGTGCGTTCAATCACCACCCTTTGCAGGATATTTCTTTGAAACAAATAAGAAACTCATGAAGTTCTTTTAGAGTTTGCCTACTGAGAACATATTTCGTGATACATACAGCACAGAGGCCAAAATCAATTAGTACTTTTTGATATACAAAACTTTCACAATATTTCAGACCTCTTAATGGGGAACACCTAAGCCATGGAAATTAAGTGTGGACTTCCTGTAAATACATTGCTTTATTGCAGCTCAGATGTCACCCAACTGAAGGGAGAAGATGCACAGGAAGGTGAGGGACAGAGTAAGTGGGACAAGAACTTGCATTGGAAGGACAAGCAAGCATTTTGCTCATACAGGCTGGCAGAGAGTTACTCCTCCTTGCAGCCCAAGAAAACCTCACATAAGCAAAGGAAATTCTGATGTCAAGCTAAGAATCTATACAATGCTATCTGCTAACTGGCTTGTCTTGACTTTCACGGGCAGACACAGATTTCTAGCTGCAAGATGCCAGCTATCTTCTCCCATAGGAAAGGTCTACTATGTCACCTAAAATCAAGATCCAACATTTCTCAAAAAAGAAATGATTCACCATCAGCCATCTGACATCATACTCATATTCAGAGGTGTTTTTACAAGTTTATGTGGCAGCAGAGGGCACACACAGCTCACACACACACAATCTCCCAGCCCTCACCTTTGCTGAAACGGAAGAGATTTACAAAAGAACTGTAGGCTGATTTAAAAGGAGGCTCATCCTGGTCAGGAGTCAGGGGTTTGAAGTGAGTGAGATGAGATGGACTGCTGGGAGAATGAGGTAGATCACCGGTAGAGTCCAGTGTCGGAGACCGTTTGTCATCTGCAGCCATTTCACGTGCCCTGGAAAGAGTTCAGCAACACACATTATACAGGGGTGGTGAAACAGAACCTCTTCAGTCAGCTGAAGAGGAGGTCTCTTATTAGATCCTAGAGAGGAGACATTCACCCAACTGACCACAGATTTCTGCTATTAGCACAGGTCAAGAGTGCCAGAGTTAGGAGCCCATGTCCCCTGCCCAGTCACTGACAAGAGATCAACATCTCTGCGGAGAGCAATTCAGAGCACCCAGTTAAACATTCAGAGCAGTGAACAGCCTCTACACTGCCAACACGCTCCAGTTGCGGTTTTATGGGAACTTGAAGTTTCCAAATGGAGACTCTGCACACATATCACAACAAAGTTTTAACTTGGACAGCTCTTCTCTTAATGTTGTGACTTCTACAGCCCTTGTAACAAGAAAATTGAAGACAGGCATGCCTGAGCAAGCACAAGAAAGACCTGTTGTTTGGCCAGCTTAACTTCAGAATGAGAAACAGAATGAACTACAAACAAAAGCAGGACTGAAAGATTAAGCTCAGTGGTAAACTGCTTCTTTCCCTTCCACATTACAATACCGACTGTTGTGCAGGTTACCAGGGAAGCAACCCAGACTGTGGTTTATTTGTTGTCAAATCTATCACCTCCAAACTTCCTTGTTTTCAGGAGTTCTATTAAAGGAAAAACAAACAAAAAATCCGAACCACTTTCTGTATGAGGGGAAGCCGTACTTATAAAGCCTATTTACTGTGTACCAAAGCTTTGTTACAGCCAAGAGCCATATTTTCCCACAGCCCATATTCTTCCTCAACAGACACACAGTTTCTTTCACAACTCCTCACTTAGCCTGCTAGGCTAAGGTGCTGACTACCTTCATTTTGTTTAAGCAAGACTGAGTGAAATGTTTGACATAACAGAACACGGGGAGCTGATGGAATCTGTGAGTGACTGGTTAACTTCTACCTGTGCCAAGGACCAAAACGCTGTACAAGACAACCTCCCACTTAGCAGCTGATACTCCTTCATGAAAGACCAATTTCCAGTTTCCACAACTGTTCCCCGGAACCAACAGGCATATTTTACTGACTAGAATAGTTTCTTCCAACTTCTAAGAAGCCACACCGAAAAAAAAAAGAATCTATGCAGTCCAGAGAAAATCCACGTGGTTAGCAACTGACACTGGAAGGGCTAACAAGTTGCATATGGTTCATGTGGCAAGGTTTGACCACTCCTACAAAGAATGCACAAAAGATAGTATCTGCAAGTCATTCACGTGATTTCTCAGAGGACTTCTGCTTGTTACTCTGTATAGCAAGCACCTTTAGCCCAGAGTTTCTCCTGCTATTCACATATCCTTAGGAAAGAAAATGGAGAGGCATCATTCACTAAGTTTCAAGAGAAACTTTGGTCAGGTTCTTCATGTAAGGCTTAGTCTGGAATGCTTCTGCATTCCTGTCCCCTGTAAGGTAGGGTATGTTTTGTTGTTCATCCCAGCAATATTATTCAAACGGCTGATTTGAACGTGCTTAAACACCAGGGGCTGATGATAAATTTTCCTTCAAGAGCACATCTGCAGGTAAGTTTGGAATCTCTTCTTCAATCTTAAGGCAACTAATAGTTTACTTTTTAAATGTTGAACACACAACAGGGTTGTGCTCTCAAACACACTACCACATTAAAAGTGCCACTACTGCCAGAAGTTTTATAGCAAACTATGTTCTTATTTCAGCAACTGACTGTAGCCTGGCAAGACAAAAATAAAAAGGAAGTCCCTGAACTTGCATACAATATATATATATGTAATTACAGAATAACAAACCCCAGTTTCAAGGGGCAAAAAACACATAGTAATTGCTTCTGTGACAACAGTATTAGCCTAATTAAAACACATTGAAAAGAAGAGCACTGTACTTGGCACTAGCTCCATAAACACCTGGATCTTCTTTGCTGTACAACACATTAGCTGTAGAGTGCATCAACGTTTCTTAAAGTGTTTTAGTTCTCCCACTACAGGGAAAACAATCCACCCCACTGCAAGAAACAGGGAAACAGTCACTTATTTGTGTATTAAGGGAAACCAGAAAGCAAGGTGCATATATTGGTCAACAGGCAGAAAACTAGAGTACATCACTTCACCAACAGTTACGGGGAATGCATCTAAACTCGCCTGAGGCTGCAGCTTCAGCAATCACCGGGTCATCACCGATACAACACAGAGCGCAAGCACGGCTGTGAGCCTCCACACACCTCCAGCTGCTACATCCAGAGCAGATCCGCGACATCCCGGGTCCCACAAAACTGACCACAACCGCCCGGTGCCGGAAGGGTCCGGCCCCTTCTTGTGACACGGACGCCACTCCCGGGCACCCAGATAATACACCCCGGGTGCACCAGCTAAACTCCCGCAATTCTCACGGAGCTGCGCGACACACGCGCTTCCCTCCCAACCTCCGCCCGGCTCCCCCCTGCGAGGGGCACACCCCTGCCCTCCGCCGGGGATGGCACACGCGGGGGTCACCTGCCACGGGACGGGGAGGGAGCGGCAGGAAGCGATCGCCGGAGCGCCGCCGGCAGCCGCCACCGGGGCCGGGCCGGGAGCCCGGAAAGGGCTCACCCAGCAGGGGAACCACCGCTGCTGGCCCGGGCGGCACCGCGCGGCCCTCGGCGGGCTGCGCTCACCTGCTGCCCGCGGGTCCGGTGGTGGTGCTGGTGTCGATCCGATGCCGGTGTCAGTGCCGGTCCCGGCGTCGGTGTCAGTCCTGGTGCTGGAGCGGGGCACGGGCTGGGGCGGCACCGCCGCTCTTCCCTCACCGCCCGGCCCCGCCCGGCCCCGGCAACGCCGCCAGCCCCGACCAATCGCCCGCCGACCGCGCCGCACCCGCGCAGGCATCGCCAATCGAAGCCTCGCGCGCTCCGCCCGCGGCCCGGCCCCCCGCTCCGCCCCCCGCCCCACCTCGGGAGCCGCTGGAAGCGGGGGGAGCTCGCGTGACCCCCGGGAAGTCATAACATATTATATGTATCTTTAATATTCCGTTCCATTCCACCCTCTCCCCGGGATTCCCGCTCGGTCCCGCTCCCCGCCGCGGCCCCTCAGGGCGGGCGGTGCGGCTGCTGCGGGGCCGCGGGGTGGACACGGCTGTGGGCACGCGCGGCCCGGGGCTGCGGAACTGCCCGGGGGGCGGGAGAGCACGGAACGGGCGCGGCCCGGAACGGCGGCGGCGCGGTCCGTGCTGCCGCGGGCCCCTGGCGCGAGGGCACCTGCGCGCGGGGCCCGGGCGGGGCCTGAGCCAACATAGCGCCCCCTGGGGGGCGCGGGCCCCGTCAAGGGGAGGGGCCGGGCCGGGTGTGGCCGCCAGGGGGCGCCGAGGGGCAGGGGCGGGGCGGGGCCGCATAAAGGGCCCCGCGCGCAGCTCGGAGCCGCATCGCGACCGCCCCGCGCTGGGAACCGAACGGGATCGGGAACGGCACCGCCGCAGGTAACGGGGATCCGCACCGCCGCAGGGCCCCGCGGCAGCACCGCACCCGTTGTCCTTCCCTCGCCTCGCAGTGGGGCCTCGAGGGGCGGGCTTATATGTGTGTTTAAGGGCTTCTTTCAGGCGGTCCGGGCGGGACCCCCGAGGCCGCGCCCCGCCCGCCCCGAGTGTCGCTGGAGGTGCCCCGGGAGCTGCGGGTGCTGCACCCCGGGATCGCCCGGGCTGGGCTGGGCTGGGTGTCTCCTCCCGCTGTCCCTGGCTCTCCGGGCAGTCCGTGGTGTTCCCAGCGCGGGCCGGGCACGGAGCCCCTCGCGTGTCCCCTCACGGCCGTGCCCGGGCGGGGCCGGGATTGCAGCCTCGGCCCGGAGAGCACATCCCGCTGTGCCGGGAGATCGCCTTGGCACAGCTGGACCGGGTTGCGGGCGGGGAAGGGGCGGTGCGGCCGAGAAACAGGCGAGATCTCTGTTGGTGACAGCGAGCGAACCTCCTCTGAGCGGAGCGTCTGTAAGCCGCAGTCAAGGACTTGTTGCAATAATTAATTATTGACTGTAGGCCTTGAGCCCTTCTTGAGGACCAAGGAGTATTTGGAAATACAGTTTCCTTAAAGCTGCCTTGGCTGCTTGCCGGGGTTAAGCATATTTAAAGGAGGGTTGCTGTAGGAGAAAGAACTTGCTGGCTTTGGGCAGTTCAGTATAAAATCAAAGGGGAGGAGTGGCAGAGCTGAACTCCAGGGAATGTGTGCTCTCTAGAGCGCCTCTTGGCATGTTGGCTCTGGTGTGCAGGAGAGGGATGCTACTGCAGTACTGCCCCTGTTCATGGAGAAACTGGGGACGTTGCTGTCTGAGGAGGGGAAAAGTCCCATGGCCATGATCAGATAAAAGTGTTGGATGCTGCCAGAGATGTTGAAGAAGCTGCTGTTTCCACGTGTCAGTGCAGTGTATCTCAGTGGAGGTGTGTCAACTGCCTTTGTGCTCTCCGTGTGGCAGCAGCATCGTATGCTTCTGAAGCCAGCTTTGCAAAACCTATTGCTATGGCTGACATACTCTGATTTGCCTCAGTTAAGTAGAACTAAACCACAAAACAAGTGATGGTGGGTTGGTGCCTGTCTACATTTTTACTTAAATGAATCAGACTGTTTCTCAGACTAAATGCCAAAAGTAAAATTGAAGTCTCCTGAGTATAATTCTGTGCCTAGGCCATGGAGTGTGATACAGTCCTTATCTAAGTAGTAACAATTCAAAATTGGGCCCAAAATACTTGCATAAATAAATTGAGTTCAGACAGAGTGTGGTCATATGAGACTCAAGTTTTCCACGAGGCCTAATATAAGCCAAGATACTGTCTTTGTTTGGGATAGAAATGCCTGATGTAGCTTATAGTAAATTGAGTCTCAGTACCACAACCTCATTTACTTTTTTTTTTTTTTTTTTTTTTTAATTTTTACTCCTTAAGAGATTTGGAAAAGCTTGATCCTCTGAACATAGCTTAGAAAGTTTATTCTCTTGCCAGACTGAAAATGTATAATGGATTGGATTTTGGAAATACAGCACAAGTTGGTTTAATTTAAAAAAAAAAAAAAAAAAAGAAAAGGAAAATTTGAACCTAGAAGTAATCTCCCCATATGCTTATAACTTGCAGAGGTGTGCAAACTTCACACCTCTGAATAACTTTGTCAAGATGAACAGATTCAGTGGACAGTAGGGTCCTTCATTCTGGATCAAGGCATTCATGGCCCTCTGTATCTCTAAACTGCAACCTGAGGCACGAGGGCTTGGTATCTCACTGTAGTATCGCAACAGCTGCACACAAGAACAGGACTATCTTGGAAGGGGGAGCTTGCCAAGTCATTGCTTTTGCATAATCAGAGCTGAGAACAGGGAAACTGTGGCTGTTGGAGAGCAGGGAAGTGTGTTAGAGCAGTTCAGTGGCTGGTGGGTTTTTTGACGAAGAACAAAGTGCAAATGGAAGAGCAGAGTTCAAGTTTATTTGTTTGAGGCTTTGTTCACAAATATCTTGGAAACCTCTGTTCCCTACAGCAAACAAATCTGTCCAGTATTTATTTGAACAGTAGAAATAAAGCTTGCCACTAGAAAGTACTCTTGATGTTTAGCCTTGGGATTTTTCTACCTGTTTCCTTCCTTCCTGGGAGGGGGAAGCTAATAAAGAAGCTGACAATATATTAATCCTCATAGTGCCAGCAATATGAGGTGTCATTGTAATCATATCTGTTAACCCCTGTTTTTCAGAAAAAGGTGGAGAAACAGGGAACTTGACTAGAACTTGTGAAATCTAAAATAAACAAAGCTCATTTATTTATGTGGAAATTGGGGGGGGAAATTTGTTCATGCTTTCGAATTCTTTTGTACAACCATAATTAAAGCATATGCCCTTAATTCTCAGATATTAACCTCTTTATCCTCATAGATCTTCTAGGATCTGTGGCTCTAAGAAAAATACCAGTTAGCATGAAACTAGGGACAAACTGTGGTTATCTTCAAGACTTTGGGAGAGAACTTGTATGCTATGTTGGTGCCTCTCCTAGCTGTGTTGTTAAAATGCAGGAATTGGTAGTTTTTGACTTAGGTTGGGCTTTTTTATGTCTATTGCAGCTCAAGATGTCTAAAAAAATCCATGGAGGCTCCGTTGTGGAGATGCAAGGAGATGAAATGACACGGGTCATCTGGGAACTGATTAAAGAAAAGCTGATTTTTCCTTATGTAGATCTGGATTTGCACAGGTAATGGCTCTTTGTGACACAAGGCTACTTTGTACTGCAATTTTCATGTGTCATTAGGCTGATCGTGCTGATTACTGCAGTAAGCAGTGAATGCTTAATTGTTAGGGTTTTTTCCTGTACTGTACCTCTAAGAAGGTCTCTCACAGACACAGCCTGTATTTTATCTCCTGTACCTTGGCTTCCCAGCATCTGTATTTTAT